TAAAGAAATCGTATTAAGAATCCAATCAAAACTTCAGTAATGACCGTTGAAATTGAATCAATGCAGTAAAATCATATCGGAATGTACACATGTTATCAAATTATTCTATATCACGTGCTCAATATATCACATACTTAATATCAGTACAATGAATCAGTAGTATCAAATAGTATCAGTAATAGTAACAATCTAATGACATGAGTTGTGGAATAATGCAATAACAGTAAATCCATGCAGTAACAATAATTTCGTACAATAATAAAAATAATGCTTCAAAAATATGCATTTCAGTAGTCGCACTAAACAAGTAAGAAGTCCTGGCCATCACGATATTTTTCAGTATTGTATCACTATCAATAAACTGTTGGCTCAGTAAATAGTCGTCACTCTTTGCCCGTTGGCACAATAATCATAGGGAAACCGAAGCATCAAAACAACCATAAAAATAATAAATATAGGTAGTTAATGCACCTCTCAAAACAATCATAAAAAACTCCTCAAAATTTGAGGTAAAATTGAAACCGAAGGGGCAGCCGTCATGGGAAACTGAAGCATCAAAATAGCCCCAAAAGTGGGGGAAAAATGAAGCATAAAGGGGGGGGGGGAACGAAGCAACAACACAGTTGCCAGGGGGGGGGGGGACCAAAGCACTAAGGGGGGAAAACGAAGCATTTTTTTAATCAAGCAAGGGAGGGAAAACTGAGAAATCCATATAGCTGATTGGAAGGGAATAGAAGCATCATGTGGTTGTATGGGGTGGGTGGGTACAAATTGCCTCCAATTCTCCTCCAGTTGAGAGATATCATCCCCTGATGAGATAACTTCAGAACTTCCATGCAGCGCTGAATGAGCCACATCCAATTCTTGTATTAAAGCCGCATACTTTCTTTAAATCATTTCTTTTTCTTGATTAAACTGGGCTTGAAAAAGACGCTTTTTATTCTCATATTTTTCTGCACACAAATTCATTTTCTCATGAATTTTGTATAGTTCATTCTGGATTGGATCGGTAGAACTTCCTTGGGACAGGACTGCTTGTTGGAATTTTATCTTCAAGATTAGTTGGTTGATTTTCACCAACTACAGTTTCTATTTCATCTTGACTTTCAGATTGTTGATGATTGTCCATATCTTTTAATTTTTGTTTTTTTTTTTTAATTTTTTTAAAAGACTTAAGAAAGGAAGACTCACTACAACCTGTCTTTAAAGACTCAGCATGTCAGAGAAAAGGCTAATTCTTGTTGTAAAGAGGAAGGAAAGAAAGGGGCAGAGCCACTTATATATATAGACATTATTGATTTTTTTTTTTATTTCATTCATTCTAGCATACTCCTTAGCCAAGATAATTTACGTTAGCAATAACATTGCATCATCCATTTATGAAAAATTTTAACATGCATGATTGATGACATGAAAATTATATATCTCAACAAATTTTGGAGCATGCCTAATTTTAGGGGTGGAGATGAAGATCGATGACATTGATTTTCATTTTAGAGTTTATATAGTTAGTTTTTTTTTTAAAAGAAGAAAAGATCCTTCCAATTGATACAATTTGAGCGTACTTTCCCTTTGCATTTGTGCATATATATATATATATATATATGATTGGGTATCTTCTTATAATTGTTTGTAACATCTTGTTTTATAATACGCAGACACTTGGTATATTATTATTTTTATCAAAATTTCAATATTACTACAAGAGTTTAAATGATAAATGTTAAGGTATTTGATGGGTAGCTATTTGCTACGCAAGCGTACGTGTTAATGAAGTAATAAAGTGAAAAGTAGAGTGTTGATATCACAAGGAAAATTATATCCTATGAATGCCCCTAGTACTTTCTACTACAAATAGCAAGGTTTATCCTATTGAGTCATGTTGGAATTAGTTTTTTTATAGAACTACTATAATTGCTGAAAAGATATTTTAATCAGAGTAAAATATTTTGAACTTATGATGATGAATAATGCAATATTTTTCTAGGTAGATTTTTCTAAAATATGTTGTGAATCAGAGCATATGCACCCTTAAATCTCTGTCATGCTTATAAGGGTGTAAATTTCTCACTATACTGCAGTTATTATATTTTCATAGACCCCAAAATTCTATTCATCCTATGTCTAGGTATGAAATATTTTCGTTTCAATCCTCTTATTTTTTTCCATCATTCTTCCGTGGAGATAGTGAATCACACTAATTTTTAATTAGGGGTGTCAATTATTGACCTGACCCGATAAATTTTGGTTTGGGTCGACTAATTTAATAAATGGGTTGGGTTCAGGTTCTAAATTTCGACCGTTTGAAAAATCTGGTTGGGTCCGGGTCACGGTGCGACAGTCCCGTCCGATCTCGTCACTCCCACTCTCAATCTCTCATAGGCCGCACCATCCGCGCTGCTAGTGGCAGACCCTGACTGCATCACGTTGCGACCTGCTCGTGGTAGACTCGCGCATCTTGCCCTCTTGTTACACAAAATAGACTGTCAACCCTAATTAATTCGAAAGGAAAATTATTTATACTTAACGCAAATTAACATAGGCATCATGATGCTCAAACGAGTGGCACTGCAGTGTTACATAAATGAACTAGTGCCATGGCTCTGGAAATGTGGTCACCATGTTGTTGGGCTGAATCGACGCAACGCTTCCATAGTGAACCGCTCCAACTTCTCTGCTGTGGCGTTGTAGGCTATTTGGCGCCGTAGCGCTCTAGAATACGACGTTGTGGCGCTGACTTAATTGCGTATTTTCCAAAACTAAGTGGCGCAACGATGCTTTAATGACGGCATTGGGGCACTACCAATGCTACTGTGCTTGAAGGTTCACAACCTGGGCGTTGAATTAATTTGAGAAATTCCGAAATTTAGTTATGCTCGATGCTCCATATCTGTTGTTGGGTCGGTGTCAAAGCTGCAGCATGTCATGTCTAGGCGCCACAGTGCTTGAGCCATATTCTCATTTTTGTGCCCTTTTCTTGAAATCTCCTACACAATATCAACTAAAATAAATATTTTTACAGAAATTTATGAGCAAAATATTAAAATAATTTACATTTATCAAATTCACCTTAGCTTAAGCTATTGCTTGTTCTCAAGCAATATGTTTTCACTTATGATTATATTCACTTCTCTGAATAAAATAGCATATTAGAATGGTTAAGGGTGGAAAAATATTTCACTAATCAAGGTTAATTACAATAGGTAAAAGGTTAACCATCTTAGTTAAAGCAATCATTAACAATAGCCCAATTAATTATTTCAATTAATATTTATACTTAGATCATCTCTTACATGTATATGTGCAATGTTGACTACACGAGTGGAGCGTACTTCTTTCCCTCTGCATTTGTGTTTATATATGTATTCCCATAATTTCTCATGAATTAGGCGTCTTCTTTTAATTGTTTGTAACTTCTTGTTTTGTATTGTGCTCACACTTGGGCATATTGATTATTTTTATCAACATTTCAGTATTCCTACAAGAGTTTAATAAGGTATTTGATGGTCATTCTATTTGCTACGCAGCTGCACGTGTCAATCAAGTAATAAAGTAAAAAGTAGAGTGTCGAATCCATTAGAAACATTATATCCTACGAATGCCCCTATTACTCTGTACTACAAATAGCAAGGTTTATCCTACTGAGTCATGTTGGAATTGGTTTTCTATAGAACTACTACAGATGTTGAGAAGATACTTTAATTAGAGTAAAATCTTTTGAACATTTGTTGTTGAATTGTGCAATGTTTTTCTAGGTAGAATATTCTAAAATATGTTGTGCATCAGAGCATATATACTCTTAGATCTCAGTCGAGTTTGTAAGGGTGTAAAGTAAAGTTCTCACTTTACTACAGTGATTTTATTTCCATGGACCCCAAAAAAAATATTCATCCCATGTCTTGGTTTGAAAGATTTTTGTTTAAATCCTCCTATTTGTTTCATCATTCCTCCGTTGAGTCAATGACTCACACTAAGTTTTAACTTCAAACATGACCATTGCATGAACTAAATTATGATCAAGAGTGATTGAAAACAATATTCATTCATTCCATGAACTAGAGTCTACATAAGGAAAAACACACTTCATTCACATCATTAGACCAAAACTAAGAATTAGCCAGCCATATAAATGATTTCACACAAAACAAAATTAATTATACAAACTATACAAGTGAAGAAATATCACCTGGAACAACTTTTACAATAAATTACAAACAATAGATTCTTCCCAGATAAATCATACTTAAGCACAATCACTTTCCACACTTAACTCCCTCTCCCTTACTGTTTTGTACACAAAATAGATGCACAACCTTAAACAATTCGAAAATAAAACTATTTATACTTAACACAAACTGACACAGGTGCTGTGGTGCTTGAAAGAATTGCGTCTCGACATTATATAAATGAACTAGCGCCTTAGTGTTGGAAAGATGGTCTTTGTTGTCGGGCTGAATTGATGTGATGCTTCAACAATGAACTGCTAGGCCTATAGAATACAACGCTGTGACGCTGACTTAATCACGTATTTTTCAGATTGAGTGGCGCAACGATGCTCCAATGACGGCGTTGGGGCGCTACCAATGCTGCGATGCTTGAAGGATTAGCACCAGGGTGCTGAATTAATTTGCAAAATTCCCAAAATTAGTTGCGCCCCCGCGCTCCCAAGTGGTGCTAGGGTGCTATGAATGCTGCGGTGTGGATTGTCTGGGCGTTATAGCGCTTGAGTCATATTCTCATTTTTGTGGCCTTTTTTCTTAATCTCCTGTACAACATCAACAAAAAGAAACATTTTTATAGAACTTTATGAACACGACATTAACAGAATTTCACTTATCAGTATTCTTATTCAGATTAGCCGATCCCACGTAGTGGGACATAGGCTTGATGTTGTTGTTGTTGTAGCATTCCTCTTTAGATCTGTATTGAACATCTTATGTTATCTGCTTTTAGAGAAATTTAATCTTACGTAATTTTTTGTTTTTAAACATCTACATTAGATGGCAATATGCTAGCTGCGGCTGCTGGGTTGTTGAAGATATTTAGTTGCACAGACAATGAGAAGATACAAAAGTTCTCCGGCCATCCGGTTAGTTAGTCTACTATGCTATGACTCTTAATTATAATTCTTTATTATGATCTCAATCTTATCCTTATGAGACTTTATCTTTCTTTCAGTGATAGTTAAATATGTTGAATTTTGATTAACATTGTTTTTGGCTGTGTTCTAGGTTTCTGTAAGGTGTATGATCTTCAGTGAAGATGGAAAGTATATCTTAACTTCAGGAGTTGGTGAGAGACACATTGCTATTTGGAAAATTGATGGAGGGAAAAAGAAGAGTGCCAGCTGTGTTCTCTCAATGGATCATCCAGCCGTTTTTCTAGACAGTCGGGGCTCAGATAAAGAGGGTAGCATGGTTCAAGATTTGTATGTTTTGGCACTTTCAGAGATTGGTATTTGTTATTTCTGGTATGGAAGTAGCATTGAAGAACTACAAAATGCAAGGCCTACCAAAATCTCACTGTTAATTGAATCTTCTCTCGTAAAGAGAAACAATAGTCAAGCAGTATTTGCTGCGAAACTTGATGGCATAGTTAGATCTGCTACTGTGTCAGTTCATGTTGCGTATGGATCCTTGATAAAGCCCTCTTTTGAGAAACTTACAGTTGAAAATGGCGTTGACATGAGCTTGAATATGTCTAAGGAGGGTGTTCTTTTTCCTATCAGTCAGTCTTACATCTCTAAGAAAGGACAAGTGGTTAATGCTGCAGGTATAATGTGACAAAAGCTACACAACTTTGATTGCTAGATTAGATCATTCTTTGTTGTCCCCTTCACATAAGATTTCTTCCATTAAAGCAGATTAAATGGACAAAGCATTTAAAAGTACTAAATTTGAGCATGAAGTGTAACCAGGATAGCTTGGGTGCTTAGAGAATCAAAATAGAATGGATTTTCCCACTGATGAGCTTCTTTTTGTGCAATTTCTTTCATTATTTTTATGTTAATGAATGAGTTCTGAAATGACCCTAACATGGAAATGCCACTTTATTGTTGCAATAGTTACTACTCTAGACCGTGCCAATGCTGAAGATGCTATTCTTCCAATTGCAAAGCTACATGTTAATGAAAAAAAGAGAAAGTATAGCACACCCTATCCAGCTGTTGATTTTGAGAAAGCAAAGTTTGACCTTGATACAAACAAGAGAAAGAGTTCCTCTTCACCTAACAAAGGTATCTTATGTTTTATGCATGAATCTAAAAGATAACATTTTCTGCCACTTTGAATTGGTTTATTTAGTCCCTGGCAATTTGGCAAACATTTGTTACTTTGAACAGTTTGATTTGCACCATAATTTTCTAAACCACTAAGTCTGTCTACTTTTTTTGCTTTATGTAGTTCCAATGCAAAGAACGGAAGTGGATGAACCAATGTGTATTGAAGATAGGCTTAGAGCAGCAGGGCTTATCGATGGTGAAGAAAAACTTGAGGGTAAAGATTTTTCTAATGGCTTTCATGATGTCACCATGTATGAAAAACTTGACGTCACCATTGATGGTAACTTGCCAAGAAGAAAGGTTTGTCTTATTATGAATAGATAAATACATCATCAATTAATACAATATAGTGCATTTTATCATTGTTCATTTTTTTCTTCAAAAAAGGGTTTTTATTGGAGGACATTTAAATGGACATGTTGGTAGTGTTAAAATATTTTAAAAACATTTATGGTGGTATGGATTTGAAGCGATTAATGAAGGTGGTAGGACCATATTAAATTTTATCCAAACTTATAATTTTATAATTGTTAATATCTTATTAAAAAAAAGAGATGTGCATCTCATCACTTATAAAAATGGATATAGTAAAATCAAGAGTAATTATTGTTTTATTAGAAATAGATCGTTTAGATTGCAAAAATTATAAAGTCATTTTGAGTAAAATTTTATGTATTCAACCTTATTAGTTTTTTATTTTAAAAGGAAGGGACAAAGTATAAAAAAAAAAGTAAAATATTATTCTAGGATTAAATGAGACTTTTAAAGAAATACTAATAAAAATATTTTTGAGAGTAAAATTCAATATCTCACAATTTTGATTGTGCATGATGAAGCAATTATTATATGGAAAAAATTAGTTAGTGACATTTAGAATGTTATAAAATATGTGCTTAGAGTATCAAATGAAAAAACTCTTAATAATAAAAATAGTAGTTGGTGTAATCAAAAAGTGCAAGAATAGATAAGAAATAAGAAGTTTTATTATAAAAAAATTGTTTATATGTAAAATCTTAGAAAATTGGGAAAGATATAGAATGGTCTGAATGGTGTATGGAAAAAATAATATGTGATGCAAATAATTTCACTTTTATCTATTTATATAATAAATTAGATACTATGGAGGGTGAAAGATGTATGTAGAAGTTAACTGAGCAAAGTGATAAGAGAAGTAGGGATTTAGTTCAAGTGAAGTGTGTATTAAGGAGGAAGATCAAAAGTGTTTTTTTTATGAGATGATATTTAATAAAGATGGATGAAATATTTTGATAGGCATTTCAATAAGGATTGTGAGAATATGATTGACTTTTGTGACTTTCACACTAAACCAAAATATAGATTTTTATTTTTATCTTCGTGTTAATAAAACCAAAGTTAGAGAGAGACTTTGACGAAAATAAAGTGTAAAAAAAGTGGTTGGATCTACAATATTTCAATAGAGGTGTGGAAATGCTTTGGAGATGAAGGAATTTATTGGTTTATTAAACTTTTCAATATTATTTTGAAGACTAAAAATATGCTAGATGAGTGGAGAAAGAGTACATTGTTTTTATTTTTATTTTTAAAATAAATGTCATGAACAAGAGTGCACAAATTATAGAAGAATTAAGTTAATGTGTCATTCATTAAAACTATGGAGAGATTAATTGAGGATAGGTTATGACGCAATACTAATGTTTCTCAAAATCAATTTGGATTCATGCCGGGTAGGTCTATGGGAGCTATACATTTATTGAGAGGTTTGATGGAGAAATATAGGGAGAATAAGGAGAATTTACATATGATATTTATTGATTTAGAGAAAACATATGATAAAGTTCCTAAGAAGTGCTCTAGAGAGTTCTAGAAAGAAAGGAGTTAATAATGCTTATATTCAAGTCATTAAGGATATATATGCATTACTTGTGTTTAAACATAAGATGGTTTGACCAAAGGTTTCCTATTTTAATTGAATTACATCTAGGATCTGCTTTAAGGCCATATCTTTTTTGTGTTTTAGTCATGGATGTTCTTACTAGACATTTGCAAGAGGATGTACTTTGGTGTATGCTTTTTGCTGATGGTATAAGAAAAACTTAAATTATGGAGGTTAACCTTAGAGTCCAATGCTTTTTGTTTGAGAAGATCTAAAGCTAAATATATGAAGTGTAATTTTAGTTGTAGTAGATGTAGTGGGCAAAATCAATTTGGATTCATGTCGGGGAGGTCAACTATGGGAAGCCATGCATTTATTGAGAGGTTTGATGTAGAAGTATAGAGAAAATAAGGAGGATATACGTATGATATTTATTGATTTTGAGAAAATATATGATAAAGTTTCTAGAGAAGTGCTCAAGCGAGTTCTAGAAAAGAAAGGATTTAGTAAGTCATTAAGGATATGCATGCAACAATTGTTGTATTTAAACACGAGGTGGTTTGATCAAATATTTCCTATTTCAATTGGATTACACCAAGGATCAGCTTTAAACTCATATCTTTTTTGCTTTAGTCATGGATATTCTTACTAGATATTTGCAAGAGGATGTACCTTGGTGTATGCTTTTTGCTCATGATATTCTTCTTGTTGATAAGACGAGAGAGTTGAACGAAAACTTGAATTATGGAGGTCAACTTTAGAGTTCAAAGCTTTTTCATTTGAGTAGATCTAAAATTGTATATATGGAGTGTAATTTTAGTTGTGTTAGATCAAGTCATTAAAAAGAGTATAGTTTTTAGATATCTCTGATCTATTGTTCGAACTGATGGTGAAATAGATGGGATATTATTATTAGAATTTATGTTGGATGGTTGAAGTAGAGGAATGCATCGAGCTTGTTGTGTGATAGAAAAGTGTCCCTCGAACTTAACGAAAAATTCTATAACATGGTGTTGAGACCAACATTGCTTTATGGCGCAAAATGTTGTCCATTAAAGGGAAGCATAAAATTAAGTGTTGCAGAGATGAGGATGCTTAGGTGGATGAGTGGCTTTACTCTTAGAGACAGAATGCGAAACAAGTATATATAGGAAATGTTGGAGTAACTCTAGTTGCGGATAAAATTAGAGAGTCGCCTTAGATAGTTTGGTCACATAAAATGTTGGCCTTCTAATAACCCGATTAGGAGAGTAGATGTATTAGATCTAGTCTATGTTAAGAAAGGTAGAGGTAGACCTAAAAAGACATGATAAAAAAGTATTAGACATGACTTTTTTTATTAGATTTAAATGAGAATTTGTCTCTTAATACAATGCAATGGAGAAAAAGTATTCATATAGCCGATTGCATGTAGTTGGATAAAGGCGTCTTGTTGTTGTTATCTAGATAAATTTTGTTTTCATTTGTTTTGTTGAGATAATTAATTGAGATAAGTATATCTTCAATGGTTTTTAATCATAAAAAGCATAATTGAGAACCATGCTAATTTCGACTTGGCATGCATTATGATGAAGTGTGTATGCATGCTATAAATATTAAGTTATCAAGTTATGCTTGTAAACTAGTGAATTGCATAAGCAGTTGCAGAAAAATCAATGAAGTTTTCGAAGGACCAACCAAAAGTTTAAGATGTATTTTGGCGTATGCTTTTCTAATTTAACAATTTCAGTAATTGATAATTCAGATTTCCTTCTGAATAGTGCAAGGCAGAACAATGTTGTGAATCTTTTAAAAGATCAGAGAACTAGCATTTAAAATAAAGCTACATATGCAGTTTTGTTTGTTGTGAAATTGTTATTTATTTAGTAATATTCTTGAAAAATTAAGTAATACTTCAGTAGGCAAAATCGTGTGGTTTAGTTGTTATGATGCTATAAGAGCATAGCATAAAACTCTAAAGATCTTTTACAAATCTACATTCCTATCTTAATGTATGATGGATTTTTTTCGATGTGAGAAATGAGGGTTTTATTGTGGATCAGTTAGTGAAAATGATTTTTTTTTGGGGAAGAGATGGAGGACATAACACTTATTAGCGATATTGAAAAATGGATTAAGTAATTTAGAAAGATATAGACTAGAAAATGCACCAATAACGCTGTAAATAAATTACTGTGATAGAAATTGGAAGGTGATTGGTTCTAATTCCTGACTGGATTAAAAAATTGGGACTTTTCTCGGTCAACCCGCTAATATGAAAACTACCGAATTTGATTCCCATATCGTAATCCGCAGTCCTGCACCCCATCACACTCACTTGCCTTGCCCTCGTGTCCCGCAACATGCAGTCCCGCACTACATCCCTCGCTCACTGCCTCGCATCCACGCTCACGCAGTTGCGCCACTCGCTCCCTACCCCGCTCGCGCAGTTACTCACCATGCAGTCTTGCCGACCCTCGCCCGCACATCCACCTGCACTGCGACCCACAATTGACGCTCACCTACTAATCGCACCCATGGGTTAGCGGGTCGGGTCGGGTTTGAATTTCTGACCTGTTTGTCTAATCAGGTTGGGTTCGTGCTGGATTAGTTGAAGCAGCGGGTTTTGAGTTAGACCAGAACCCGACCCGAAAGTCCATTTTGACACCCTTACTAGAAGACTTTTGTTAGTTGAAGTTAATTTTGTATTTCTTAGCAGAAATGAATAGAAGAGGATTCATAAAATGGACCCATGATTTTATGACGAGGCAAATTATAATAATTATAATAGCTTATTTTTAATTTTATTTTGCAGTAATTTCTTTCTTTTATTCTATGCCTTAGTTTCGTTGATTGCACTAATTGAACTAAGATGGAAATTGCCTAAATTTGTATCCAACAGATGACAAGATTTAAATCAGCAGCCATTCATCCATTGTTAAAGCTATCAGGCCGTCTTCAACTAATAATGGCTCAGGTAAACACATCAGAATGTGAACTAAGAATAATGATGACCTTTGATAAAATGAGTGCTTTAAACAGCCCAAACAAACTTCTACATCTTTTAAGAGCTACTTTTTTTTGTAATATATATTTTTGTTTAACTTTTTATGCTGTAATTCTATTTTTTTTTTTAATTTTTGAACCATTAATGAGAAGGAATTCCCCAACTTTCAATGATCAACTTTCCAAAATTTTAGATTGAAAAGTTCCAAACAAAATAAAAAATTTCCCCAAAACTCAAATTTAGCTCATTACTATATGTGAGTGCAGAACAGTTTCTTAGGACAAAAAATTTGTCTTAGTATTCTCCTTTGGCTATAATAATTGGTTTAATGCATTGCCTTCTTTTTCCAGATTGACAAGGCCTGGACTAGCCTACCTGCAATGCAATTAGTAGAGAAATTTGTTGATGTTAATGAAGATGGGGAGGATGATGAAGATGATGATGGAGACATTGATGAGGTGATTTATGATGAGGATAGTGAAAGTGGCTGTGATGATTAAGTAAAGATTGGGCTATTAAATTTACTGGCACAAATGAAGATCAGGTAGATGGCACTGAAGATATATATTTATCAGGACTGATAAATTTATAAACAGAATAAAAATTTTGTGCTATTGGCTAGCTCTGTGGCTAAGCCATGGCTCCATTTTTGTTAGTCAGGTTCTTCTCTTATTGCTAGCTAGGATTCCTTTATTGAATTTGTAAAAGAAAAGCAAAGTTTCAAAATGCCATTATTGATCCATTTTATGGGTTAATTTTATTATTTTATGGATAACTTGTTGATTTTACTAGCCCATTATTTTATGATATATATATGTTTGGTCATTCGGATAATCTTAATCTGATAAATTTTTGAAGTTAGTAATATTGAAGTGATTAATCGTGAAAAAAAAATTAAGATTAGGTCCAATTGTCTGTAAGACCGGTGATTGGCCACTTGACTTAGCAGCCCGTCAAAAAAATAGTTCAAAATTTATTTTATTATTTTGTTGTAACTCAATCTTCGTAGATTGATGGGGCAACTGGTTTTAAATTTTTTATATCAAAAGTATAATTATTGTTATGGGCTAAAATATACATAGTGATAGAGTTGGAAATTTTTCTCTCAGTGTTGGACGGATGTCCAGTGCATAAACATGGAATTTAGAAACATAAAAATTTTAATGTGGAAAATTTTGAAAAAGGAAAAAAATTATGGGGCCATGCTCAGTTGAAATGATTTCACTAGTGTTTGAATAGATTATAAATGATTGTTTTGTCTTATTGAGGACGATCAGATTATAACGATCAATTGTCGGGTTAAAATTTAGTGATGATCGGAGATCAGTTAGAAATTCTACGATGTTCGGTTGTCGGGGGGAATTTGGTGTCAGTTGATGACTAGATGGAAGTTCGGCATCTGTTGGTGATCGGGCTAAAATCTTGCATTGGTCAGTGGACGGGCGAAAGCCCGGCGTCAGTTGGTGATCAGGAGGAAGTTTGACGTAAATCGGTGGCCGAATAGAAGTCCAGCATCAGTTGGTGGTTGGGCAGAAGTTAGGTGATATTTGGTGGCCAGATAGAAGTTCGGTGGTGGTCGAAGAGTTTGGTGGTAAGAGAACTATAGTTTCTCTCTTCCTTTTCTTCTCTTCCTTGATTGAGTCTTATTCTATGAGGAATGAGAGGTTTATTTCTAATTTTATAAGAGGCATGACCAATAAATAAGATGAAGATCTAGGTTAAGTTGGGAGTGGTTTGAATGGACGGTTGTAAGTTTGCTGAAATCAGAGTTCAGATTGTCCCAAATTTAATTTTAGAAGTTTCCAACTTGATTTTGCCTTGAGATTCGTACTCGATTAAAATAATTTGTTGATGATATAGCAGTTGTCCTTCTATTTTCAAACGTTGAAGCCAACATAGTTAAAAAATATATCTTGTAGCTCTACATGTTCTTTCAAAGTAAAATTATAATTTTTGAATAATTATGAGGTACGATCACTCCCTTAATGTCAATATGAATATCCTCTTGGGGAATTTTTATTAGGTCCGGTGTCCTGACGTAGCTCTACGTTCGGACGCCAATAACATGTCTCAACGTGCTTTTACTTTTTACCGTGCGGCCCGACGACCCAACCTGGATCGAAACCCGAGGTTGCTATGTTCGCGTATTGCTAGGTATTGCTCGATATTGCTAGTTATTGCTAGGTATTGCTCAGTATTGCTAGGTATTGTTTGACAATAACGTGAAATACTGCTATGTGAAGACCAATACCTAGCAAAATCGGGTTATCGCTCGGTATTGCTTGGTATTGCTAGGTATTGGTCTTCATAGAATGTTATTTCTAATTATTGTCGAGCAATATCGAGCAATACCCAGTCTGCACAAATCAGCCAGTACATAGCAATCCCGGGTCTGGTCTGGGTCGGGTCGTTGGGCCGCGTGGTAAAGAGTAAGAGCACGTGGCACCATTTTACTGGCGTCTGAATGTAGAGATACATCAGGACACTGGACCTAATAAAAATTCCCTCTTGGGGCCATGAACAAGTTAAATATCTTTAATTATAAATTGAGGTGTCCTAGAGTTGGTGTGTTGATTGAAATAAAAATTATTCAAAAATTGCGCTCCAAGACATTTGAAATTATTCGAAATTCGTTATAGAAGCATCGTTGAGCTCCAAAAGTGTGAAAATTGAATATGGAATGTAAAAACGGCTATGTGGATCCCAAAAACATCCAATTTGGATTGTTCGGGCCAATAAAAGTGCCTAGACGTGCATTGGCGACCGAATCGACAGGCTGGCCGCCGACGCGTTCGAAAAGATGTGCCCTTTGGGATGCGCAGTTATGACCAGCCGATTGCAGTTAGATATTTTTTAAATTTTTTTGTGAGCCCCATTTTTTTTATTTGAGCGGGCGGCGGTTAGAGTGCTTCCCGCCTAAATTTTTTGTTTAAAATTCAAAAAATTTCCTAATGAGGCCCAAAAAATTCTGAAAAAATCCTAGAAAAATTTTAAAAAAGTTTAAACAAATTTGGAGGAGAATTCCCCTCATTTTTTGAAAAATTTCCCTTCTTTTTATCTTATAAATACCCCCTAAGGCAAGAGAAAATTTGCTCTTCTCTTATTTTTTATTCTTCTAACTTTCTTAAAGTTGAGGCCTTCAACTACCTTGAATAGGTGGCATCCTCTATCAAGTACAAGTGTCCATCTCTTGTGTATAAGTTATACTTTTTAACCTTCATCTCTTTCTCTCCCATTTTTCTTCTTACTATAGAGGCTTTTCATTATTTTTGATAGATGACATTCCTTATCCAAATTAAGTGTCTCTCTTTAGTGCAGAAGTTCAAATGAGTGACCACGCCTCCACCAAAATTCTCCTAGCTAAATGAGATCGTCCTATTGCCCAACATGAAGGTTTAAAGAAATCTCGCAAGGTGGTCATGGATGACGATGTTTCCTCCACCATAACTAGCGGCTCCGTAATCACTTTTAGGAAGAAGTTTCATTTCCCCAATAATCTTGTGATGAAGGTGCCTGAAAAGTTAGATTGTGCTTGTTCCCCTGTAAGATTCTTGATTGTTTATGAGTTCAATTTACTAGTAGGGCTATGATTTTAATCTCCCCTGAAATTGATTGATATTTTAATGAGATGTGGAAGGAGTTTGTCCCAATTTTCTTGTAGAGCCATGTCGATCATAATTGAATTTATCACATTTTTTAGATATTGTGGTGCGGTGTTGTCTTTAGAGTGTTTTTGTCGGCTGGGTCGACTTACTTGTGATACGCAAGATCGTTCCACTTTTAGATCCAACTGGTTGGATATTTGCACTCAAGACCCATTAAAGAGCTGTATTAGTGGATTCTTCTTTATGCATAATGCCTATAATCTATTGGAAAAATGAGGAAAGCTGAAGGATTTGCCCATTCCCCTTCATGTTGGATTAGAAGATATACTAAAGATACTCAATCTTCCTGATGTAGACACCCCTCATTATGAGGTACATTATTTGAGCAAATATATAGATGAGGAGTATTTGTTTAAGATGGGACTATCAACTCAGGCAGGGATATCTCATGCACATATGTTAGAGAAGGTAGCTATCTACACTTCAAAGTTTCTACCTAAATGATTAGGGAATGATGGTGATCCAAAGGTATCATCCAAGAAGAAAAGGGTGAAGGAGATTTTGATAGTTACTAGCGACTGTCACATTTCTTCTCTATCCAAGTTACACATCATAGAAGATGTTTTAAACATCAATGTGTTGGACGCCGACAAGCTGATGACCCTTATAAAGATATGTCCCTTACAAACTCTTTCTTATTGTTTCAGTTGCTACAATGCATCAATCTTGAAATTAAATTAACCAAAGTCTTGAATGATTGAAATAATGAGTTTGTGAATGTCAAGTATCTTCAATGAAAGTATAAGAGTATGAAGGTAAGATCGAGGAGATGAAGGCAGTGGAGGAGCAGCTAGCAGAGTGCATAGTATAATTTGTTACTATGGCAACTTCAGCCTCTTTGTAGAATCAACAGATGGATCACATTTATATTGGGTTAGTGGATGTGAAAGATCAATAGATCCTTGAGGAGAAGATAATAACCCTTGAAGATTAAAACAAGAGACTCCATAGTTTGTTATATGAGAAAGAAACTATGTCTAATTAGTACTTTCACCTTCTAGAGTTATAGAAGAATTCAATAAGTCTGTTGCCTTTAAGATGATAATTCAAGATCATGTCAGGAAGCTCGTGATCACATATATGATTTGAATGTGAAGGCCTTGGAGCTGGAGTGTATAGAGGAAGGTTTCGTTTGAGGTTTTCTAAAAGGGGTCCATCTAGTGCAGTGCAAGATTGGAGATGAAGTTGAGGGGTTGACACCTAGCTAGACTTCTGATAACTCTTCTCCAGATTCATATGGTGATGAGATTGAAAGTGAGTTGTAGAAGGTCTTTGCCCTTGAAGATGCTGATGTTGAGATTATGTAGTATTTCTCTATTGTTAGTTGTCTCACTTTATATTTTTTAGTAATTTTTGCTTGTATTAGGAGTTATTATTGTCATATAATATGTGTGATATGTTTAGTGATATATTAAGAAGTTATTGATATATTTTCTTTCTCATATGTATATAAAATTTACTTAATTTTATTTCAATTTGGATGTTGAGAAATGTTTTAGTGTCTCATTTAGCTTGAGAGAATGTGAATGACATCCTCTTATGATGCTTAACATATTCGAGGTTATTTGTCAAAGCATTTATTTTATGACATTAACCTGTATGGAAGAGGTCAGATTAAATCTCCCTGGGATTGATATAGTAATTGAGATATAATGTGGATTGTCTAATTCTCGAATCATGGATAAAGAGATTAAATTCAATGTTAGTTTTTTATTGTCATTTTTTATCCTTTTTAAAAAAGAAGGATATAATATCATAATAGAACGAATAACACATTACTGCATTATGTAAGACAATACAATAATTCTTTAGTATACTTAGGGATTTTAGTATTACACCATACTCAACACAATAGGGATACATATAAGGACTATACAATAACTTGGGAGAAAATACATAACACAAGATAAGTAGTACTATTAACACTTATTGATAATACTCGTGACGGTTTCCAACATTCTAGGTTCAAGGGAGCATCTTTTCATTGGCATCCTTTAGTTTGAAGGTGCTAGGTTTAACCATAGATGCCATTAAGTAAGAACCCTCTCAGAGGGGAGAGAGTTTGTTGCACTAGGGTCCCTTTATGGCCGCCTCGATGCTACGTAGAACTAGGTCCCCAATTGAGA